CCGCTGCACCCATGCCAGGAGCGCGGCCGAGCTGAGCAGGCACAAAGCCACCCTCCCTCGTCCAAGGACAGGGAGTCGCGGGGAGCCTGTGTCGGGAGCTATTAAAACACCAGTGCAAAGCTTTGGGAGCAGAGAAACCCAAGGGGTAGAAACATGAAATAGTGGACGTGGGAAAACGTGCAATAAGCAGCCTCCCGAGCCTTCATCAAGCCAATGGGATCGGTTTCCTTCTGTGCAGGGCAAGCCAATGGGTACATTTTATTTTTCAAGAAACTCCATCCATGGGTACCAGTGCAGTGGTGTGAATTCCCTTTTCACCTTTTGAAATCAGAGTGTTCTAATATATAACTGTGCTTGTTTTACTGTGGACCAAACTCTAGGAGTTAGCAGCAGCTGAAACCTCCCCCAGCATCCAAGCTCGAGAATTGGGGTTCAGTCCTGCTCCCGGCCTCAGGTGGCCAGCGCCAGCCCCAAAGCACAGCTGACTTCGGGACACGAGCAGGCAGGAGAGGGGAAAGGCTCTCTCCAGGGAGAAAAAAAACAGCAAAAGCAGTAACAACAATGAAAATCCTAACATTATGTTTTGTTTGACTTGTGTAGGTTTCCCAAGTACCTCCGTGTTCTTGTGTCATTTGCATTTCATTGCTTTACTTTAAGATGTTTTGTGTTCTGTTTAAAGAGAAGAATAACTCATTGTGAAAATTTGGATAACTGTGATTGTGAATAAAGTTGATTTAGGTATCCCACAGCAGTGTGAGTGAGTGAGTGAGTATTTGCTACTTGCACAAGAGTAGCCAAAACATGATGGGCCATGTGATGTGGCAACACAATTTAGAGAGGCTGAAGTATGAACAGTGACAGGAGAGCCTGGTCCTTGGAGGGGTAGGAGGAGGCAGCCAGGTGAAGGGAGTTCTGGCTTTTCCCCAGTGCGTGAGGGTAAAGGGCTGGCTGCAGGGCTCTGCTCAGGAGCACACCTACATCATGGTTATGCGAGTTTTCCCTCCCATCCTTTTGTTTAACAGTTCAACAGATGAGACACACTGGCTGAATTGCTCTCTCCTGGCACAGGACATATTTGAGTTGGCATCTTCTCTCTCCATCTGCCAAGGGATAGGAACTGCTCATGAGAGGTGGCCTCAGCTTCTCCAGCTGAAGCTGTTCCCCCCTCTCAGGTGGAAGGTACACTTCATGCTTTCCAAGCCAGGTGAAGCCAGGCCACTTCTGCACCCCAGCCTTTCCCAGCAACAGCTAAAAGAGCAGTTGGCTGTTTGGGCAAGACAAGCTTGCATATACTTGTGCTTGTATGAGCAGAGCCATGCCCAGCTTCTGCTTTCCTAGGGCCAGGAGGACCTCTAGCGGGTTCGGATAGCCTTCTCCTGCTGGCTGTGCAGCTGCCTGGCTGGAGCATGCCTGTGTGCAGGAAGCACACATCCCAGTGGGAGCAAGCAGAAGAGCTGCACAATGCAGACTGCCTTTAGAAACTGAAAACACTCTCCGACTGCCAGACTGCCTGGAGACATGCTGAGCCCAAGCACCATGGTGTATTAGGCCAAGCAAAATGCTGAGATGCTAGGCCAAGCTCACACTCTCTTATCTCCTAGGATGAGAGAAATGGGACAGGGCAGGCGTGCCCAGTGCCCCCCAGAAGCAGCCTAGGCTTATTCTTTCCCCTCCCTGCACTGCCTTATGCATTGTCTCCAGAAAGCTTTGTGCACCAGTTTGAGCATGTTCACTGGAGTCATTCTGCTCTGAGCCCCCTTCCCAGGCCACCATCCTTTGCTCACCACATACCAAACCAGAGCTGCAATTTCGCCATCATACATGGGCTATTTCTGCTGCATGTTCCTCTTGCCACGATGAAACCTTCCCAAAGGCCAAGTGGTCCTGCCAGAGGAAAGGACCCACAGTCCTCTCCCTGCTTTTAAGACACTTCCCAGGACTTCCCCAGTAGAGCTCAGGTCTATAACTAGCTGCAGCACTGCCAGCCTGCAGGGCTGGAGGCTACTGGCCTCCCAAGGAGGGGAAGGAAGAGGAGGAGGAACAGAAGGAAGAAGGGACGCTCCCGAAAGTGGTCCAGGCACCGCAGAGGTACTCCGGCATCGCCACCTGCTGACCTGCGCCTGGAATGGCACACACATCCTCCAACAGGATTCCCCCCCACACCCCTTTAAGAGCTATTTTTTTTCCTTTTCAAATACTCATTTTAACACAAGTGGGACCAGAGGAATTTAGTCTGGTGTTGGCTCTCAGAGAAAAACGGAGAATTAACAGTGAATGGGTTGTGTTAGTATATTATGATGGTACAACGCCAGAAAAACCATTTCAGCCCTAAATTGGCTGGCAACGACCACGTGAAGAGAAAGTACATTTCCCAAGCACAGACTTCACTAAGTCTGTGCCTTAAAACACATGGGACTATGTGCTACTTAGGATCCAACTCTCAGCATCTTTCCTCTGCCCCCCAGGGCTGTGGAACCCAAACAGGATTCCTCCTGCAGCAGTCACCTGTGTGCCAGCACAGAGGGACATCTTGCAGGTGCTTTTAGCAAATGCTCTGCCTCCAATGAGAGCTGGGCTGATGCAGGGCCTTGGTGAGCCTCATCTCTGTGCAGGATGTCCGAGAAGTGCTACACCACAGAGCAAACAGCCCCACACTAAAGTGAGGGATGCCTTCATGCAACATCATTTTCTGCTGCAGCACCACAGAGCTGCGGAGGGCTAACCCACCTCTGGTTCTGCTTTAGAAGAGGTGAAAACAAGGCATGAGGAATGACCCCTTTTCAGCTACAGATCTGCAAACTACTAGCAGACAAAAGGAAAGCAGGAATCAACCAGCACTTCATGGAGGGCTCCATAGCTGATCTACAGATAGAAGTGCTAGAGAAAAACCTCATCCCCTATTTACCACCCAAGCCTCTGCCCCCTGCCTCTGCAACCACGAGGAGCCATTAGAAGCTCTTTACTTTTACATGTCCAGCTGCTACTTCACATAGTCCAAGTAGTAAATGCTTCTCTTACCTGGGCTTCCAGCCCTCAAAACCAGCAAGAAGCAGCTGGCAGAGCCCAGCACCCTTGCCCCTTGCAGGATCAGATCATAAACACCCCATGTGCAAGCACAGCCTGCTCTGCAGCCTGCAAGCAGGTGTGTTAACAGCTCATCCCAGCTTGCACAGCAGGCCTCATACCACAGAACCGAAGGGCCACCCATGCAAAAGGACATTCCCCTTTTTACTTTGGATCTGATGCCACACAGCTCTCCAAAAAGCATCTACAGTATTTTAAACCTTAAGATCTTGCTCAATACAGAGAAAAGATCTTCATATTTGAGGGCAGAGGTTAGCAGTCCATGAAAGTCTGTGGATTAGAAAGTAGAGAAAAATACAGTACAAAGTAATAATTTAGGGCAGGGGAAGAGAGAAGCTCCTTTCTCTATTTAAGCCTGAGCTGGAATTTGCCATTGCATGTACACATAAGTGATAAGTGATTCTGGGAAAACTGAACTCAGTGGTTTTTATGAACACAAGTGAGATTAAAACAGCACTGAAAGAACTGAAAAAAAAATAAGCCAACTGGATCACAATTAAAAAGGTCAAAAATTTATTTTTCCTTAGGGCATAAGAGGCAATGTAAACAAAATACAAAAAAAAACAAAACACACACAAGTCAATTCTTACAGTCTGCAAGCATTTGAAGACAGAGTACCCTTTTCCCACCTCCCCCCAGAACACTGCAAGCCTGCTCCA